TCTTCATTCCTGGCACACTACCCTTGAACCCTGAAAGAACTGACATCAAGTAGCGCCTGTATGATCCTTTTTTTAGGGATATCATTAACAAAAGACCTGATCCATGAGGTGGTGAACAACCACAAATCTCACCAGCAGTGGCAGAGGCACAGACTGGTGTTCAGCAAGCCACAACAGTAAAGAGTCATTGGTCGCATAGCACTGCTGAGCCCATGCACACCAGAAATCCATTGCAACAGCCCATCAAGTCATAGCACCCTCCTACTACCTCCAATAGATCTGCCATGCAAGTAGCTCCACCATTGTCAGCTACAAAAAAATGCTGTGCATGAGCAGCCACTCGTGGGAGACAGTTTCACTGGAATAAAGAAAGAAGAGGAGAAGCAGATAAAAATTATTAAGAGGAACACAGGTCACAATGTTTCTCTCATGTGGGTGACTTTTTCCAGCTAAAATATAAAAATCCTTGTTTTCCCCTGTGCATCATAGGAATACAGACAGGACTGTAAAATATAAAGTGTGATCCATCTTGAAATCCATACCTCAGCACAGCACTTCTCAGGCTTTTTCAGATATATCTCCCTCTTAGACCTATTCCACACTTGACCCTGTCTCCTCCTATCTATGCACCTCTTATAAGCAGCTCTGAAGCTGGCAGGGCACACCACTGAAGAAGGTGTCATGGAAGAATGCTATATGGGAGCTGCTGGATGAGGTACTTTGTGGTTGGATATAGAAATGTAGGGGAGGATCACATCAGGGGACAGGACAAAACCACAAACTTGAGAAGATGTGAGAAATACAGTAGCCAATGGTACCACTGAGAGCCAGGTGGGACTCCTCAAACAAACATGAAGGACCATGTGAGTCTTCAGACAACTGGCATTTGTTTCTTTATTACACAGACAGCAGCTTTCTATGGAAAATGTTTTGGCACTTGCTGGTGTTCACTTTTTTTAATTTATGTCCTGTTCTGAACAAAGATGCCAGTATTTCAGGTGGATTCTAACCAAATTTGATTAATATTTTCCAAGCTGAGAAAACAATCCCAAAATCCAAGCTGCTATGGACTTTGAGTTACTAAGGTGGCAGAAGGGAAGGACAGAGTAGCTAATAAGGAACTAGAGGAAAATAGGATATAAAGCATTTTGAGGGTCTCTCCTCATCTGGAAAACCCTAACATGTAAGAGAGAAGAATGCACCATACCTTGAAAAAATTAGTACAAGAGTATCTGAAATCAGATTCCTGAAATACAAGGCCCCTTTCAAGTTCTGTTGTTTGGGGTTCTTTTTTTTAACTTATTTGGCATGTGCTCCTTCTCTCATGCAACACTGACTATTCTAGTGAAGCTGTTTATGCAATACAAAAGTAGGACTAATTGACAGTCTGTACAAGCGACCCTAAATGATGATTGCAATTTATTCCACACCAGAACTAAGTCATCTTCGCACCATTTTTTAAACTATAGTGTGGCACTGGCAGAGATAAAATGTGCTGTCGTTCAGAAGAGGTTAATTAAAGCTTGCTGTCCCCATATGCACACAGAAGTGTAAAATTGGTCCCATTTTCCTGCATACACTTAACCACAATGCACTTGCTCCCCCTGCTGCCCACTTGCATTTCTACCGTTGCAATTTCTGCAAGAGCAATTGCTTTCCCTTTAGGGACAGTTATAAATATTTATGCTTGCTTTCTCACTCCTATCATAGCCAGTATCACTGCCTTCCAGAGAGATCCCAGAAAAAAAACAATCTAGAGAACTAGCTCCGCTTTATTTACAGTACATTAGAGTTACTGAGAGCTTGACAAGTGTCTGTCAGGAAAGCAGGATTCACTAGGTAGTTAACTCCTCAGCAAAGCATCCTAAATTTAGGTTATGGGATTCACTGCACATGCACATTCCTGCTTTCCAGCACTTCTGCTAGACTATCACCAGAAACAAGGAGAAAAAAATGTCCTTCATTAAAAGAAACAGGCACTTCCACTAAACAGCTCTGGCAGCACCAGGGTGCTTCATGTGTATTCAGTTGCGCTGCTTGCTCCAAATGGCTAGAGATGACCAACGTGGAAGATGGTAGCAAAGTACTGCCTAGCTTCTCTGAGGCCAACAGCAACCAAAACATAAGCATGTGCTGTCACTGGACTTATACTGCTTTTCTGAAGAGAGAGCAAGAATTTCTTCCACCTAATTAATGTGTACCAATACTTTCAAGCAAGTGCCAGACAGACGGTGAGGAAAATGGTGTGCTGAAGGGGGAGATGGAGGAGACCCAAGGAAAAACATGGCTATTGTAAATGAAGCATATGCTTGCCCGGGGTCCTGTTAGGACTGCCTCCTAAGCCTGATAGAGTAACTGCAGCATCTATATTACCATCTCCAACTGAGCTGTGGGTCAAAGCCCACTCCTTTCAAAATAGCCATCAGACATCTTCAGGCCTCTTCATTGCACTGGGTGGGACTTCACAGCACCGCAAAATCCACAGTCTGGTATCTGCTGCCCTCCTCTGCTCTGTCAGCATAACAGGAAGAACTAGAACAGGGAGCCTTTTCCCCTTCCTTCTGTAGAGTGGGGACACAACCTGGCTGCTAAATTCTGCTAGAATAGCTCCAGGAAGGCCTGAGTGTTGACTAACAAGCTAATAGGGCAGCAGGAGAGAGGAGTGCCATGTCACAGCCATTCTGCTCTCTATGTGATGTTGAATCCCTTTTGTATTTACCAATGTCCAGAACTTTCAGCAACCATAATAAAAGGAAGAGGTAGCAAAACCTGTTTGGCACAGCTCTCAAAGGCAGATGCCTTCTTTCCAAATCCTTCTGCAGTTCTTCATTTCCATCACTAGTCTGCTCCTACCTAGCTCTGAATCTTCTTGAGCGGCTGAGTTGCCATTTAACTTCCTTTCCTTCCCATGGGAATTTAAGACTGAGAAGATAGTAGCACCAGCACAGAAGACAGACAAGGTGTCATTTATTATGGACTTTGAGAACTATCAGCTCTGAAACAGGGTGATCATAAACTTGTGGAGGCAGAGCCAGATTAGTTTAATATTCAGCTGGCATTCAGACACTTTCCAAAGACTTACCATAGACTAAAATTTCCATTAAAAAACCCCCCAAAGTGAGAATTTTGAAAATGTGACTAGGTAGAGACAGTCTCTCCTCAGGCTATGTGGAGCAAGTTCAAAGCAAAGTCCTTGGCAAAAAAGTATGTCGGACTGAAACCAAGCCAGTCTTCAGATGGTTTTCTCCCAGCACAGGAAACAGTGGACACAACTCTGGAACAGTCTGAGGTGTTACAAAGGCAGAGAAAAGTACAAAAGACGAATGGGGGAAAGGATGGAATTCACCTTAAAACACCAATAGAATTTTGAATTGGCTGTAAGCCACATTAACTGCAAAGTGTTAAATATCAGTACACAAATGGCTCAGAAAGATCTGCTCCATTCCCCACTCACTGTCAACACAATCACAAGACCTCTGAGATCAAGTCCAACCCTTGATCCACTACCACTGTGGTTACGAGACCATGGCACTAAGTGCCACATCCAGTCTCTTCTTAAAAATCTCCAGGGATGGAGAATCCACCACTTCCCTGGGCAGTCCCTTCCAATGCCTGACTACCCTCTCTGTAAACAATTTCTTCCTAATATCCAACCTAAACCTCCCCTGGCAGAGCTTAAGACCATGCCCTCTTGTCTTACTGATAGCTGCCTGGGAGAAGAGACCAACCCCCACCCAGGTACAACTTCCTCTCAGGGAGTTGTAGAGAGTGATGAGGTCTCCCCTGAGCCTCCTCTTCTCCAGACTAAACAACCCCAGCTCCCTCAGCCTCTCCTCACAGGACTTGTGCTCAAGTCCCTTCACCAGCCTCGTTGCTCTTCTCTGAACCTGCTCCAGCACCTCAATGTCTTTCCTGAACTGAGGGGCCCAGAACTGGACACAGCACTCCAGGTGACGCCTCACCAGCACTGAGTACAGGGGAAGAATCATTTCCCTGCTCCTGCTGGCCATGCTATTCCTGATACAGGCCAGGATGCCATTGGCCTTCTTGGCCACCTGAGCACACTCCTGGCTCATGTTAGCTTTCTGTGGATCCAAACTCACAGGTCCCTTTCTGCCTGGAAAGACCAGTATCGGTTTCTTCAGTATGCATTGATTTTAAGCCACACTGCTGTGTCTTCCCACTTCTATTTGAATGTTCACCTTTTAGGACCTTCGTGCTACCTCCCATTACCCCAGCATCCAAGGCCTTCTGTGTGAAGGTCAGTAACAAAAGACAGTCCTCAGCAGGCTTACAGTTCCTTGTGCTTGTCATTCGAGTTACAACTCTGCTTGGCATCAGAGTACTTTGAAAACTGAAGAGGATGACTTGGTCTCCAGAAGCTAGAATTTTAAACACATCATCAAAAAGTAACGCTTCTTATTAAAGTGAAAAGCAAGCATGGGGAACAGCAAGCATTTGTTTAGATTCACTGTTCTGGAACTAAATCTTCATTATTCCCAAGCAAACGTCCCCATGCTTTGGAACAGGTATGTACTCCCTCCAGCCCAATTATTTACATGTAAACATGGAGGTATGTTGACTCTAACACTATTTTAGCCCAATTGAAGGATGATGTGCAATCAAGAACAGTTTCAGGAGTGTGGAACCCTGAAGGTTGTAGCATTTCAGGTTTCAGGAGGAATGCCAGCAGAGCATTTTGGGAAATGAAGTCTCAGGGACTGCGAAACACATGCGCAGTGAAGTGCCTTGCTGGGATTGGTCAAGAAGGTCACATGTTATGACGTGTTACAATTTGAAACCACTATTTAAGCTTTTGTCTCTCTCCATAAAGGATCTTCTGTTATACATCACATTGGTGTCTTCCTGGTCCATGCAGACTTCTTATTTATTATATTAATAATATTGCCACAGAAGGTCACTTTTATTTAGTTATCAGCCCTGAAAAGGAGACAAAGGGGATGGGAGTAGAAGGAAAAAAAGACTGAAGTCAAGTTGAATTCTATTTCAGATTAATTTATTGTGCTAGAAAGAACCTGCCAGCTACTCCATATTTACAAAGGTTTTCAAGAGGATCTAGAGCTATTACTGTTACTGAACCACAAATTAAAAATGCATAAACAAATCAAATTAACCACATCCATTATGTTAACTGTAAAATATCAGTTACCTTATAGGATTTTGAGGCATACTCAAATATGGGGAAAATGCTTCCCAACCACTGATCTCTAAAGTCACCAGCAAGACTCTCATGTCTCCCTCTCATGTAGCTATGCCTGAAGATCAGCAATCCTTATGCCACTGTTGATGGAAGTTGGTTTCTGTTCTTCAATATACATGTTTTATGAATCAGGATTTTAATTAAAAGGTTATTCAGAACAAAGCATTGCAAGGTGTTAAAATAATCTTAAGGAGCACAATGAAATCCCCAGTTGGTTCCATCTGATAATTTTGCGAGGTGTTATTGCTGCCAGATATGCATGTAAAACTCTGTCATCACTCTGGAGTCACAATCAAGTCAAACTTCCCAGGGCACTGTCACTATTCACATCTCAAGCAGCATTGTAAAAACAGCATCACCTGAAAACATCACATTAGCGTTCTTTTGTTACTCTCCATGACTCTTTGAAAGGATGTTTTGATCAATTTTATCCATTCAGCTGCAAGATATAATAATGCTCTCCAAATTTACTTGTCTACCTTACCTTTCCATTGCCCAGAAGAGAGCATGGGTTCTCTAAGAGAAGGGGAAGAGAGAGCATATCTCCCAGTTTAGCTGGTTTCATTTCCACATATATTCCAGCTGCACATCAAGTTCTGAAGAAGTTCTACACTACAATACCATAATGCCAAAGGGATATGGACATGGCCTGTATGCTCACATCTGGATGCATGCAGTTTCCACTGACAACAGGTGGCTCTGCTAGTCTTGTTTACAAGTCTACAGTAACTCTTACTTGATATTAAACTTTACACATTATATAATGTTTGGGGAAGAATTTAATCACTTGAGTGCCAGTGGCCCTTCTCAGGGTATTCACAGGTGAACATTTGCTGATCAACAATCTAACTCTGTCACACTGACTTGTAAAGTATTAACTAAGATTCAGAGTTACTCTACACTCAGAAAACTAAAAACCCATAAATGAGTAAGTCAGTATCAAATAAAGTAGCAGAAAAGCTGCTAAAAGTATTTCAGAGGGAAAAAAAAAAACCACCACCACACCACACTGAAAAAACCCCTTTCTTGTACAAAGAAAGAGGAAACCTACCAGCTTTACATTCGAAAGAGAAACATGAAATTTTGTTCCTACTGCAGGGGCTACAAAAACAAAACCAAAGAGAAGCCCAAGCATAATTCATGCAAGAGAAATTGCCTTCTAGCAAGAAATCTTTTATCAATTATGTACTACAGTACTCTGACCTGGCATCAGACCTGGAAAGTCTTGCTCGACATATCAGGAAGACTGTCAGAGGCACAAAACACTGTCAACATTGCTCTCCTCAAAACAAAAAAACATCCTCTCACAAAGCAAGTTACAGAGCTGCTCACTGCAAAGCAGCACGTACCCTAGGACTGTAAAAGTTTATACTATCATCATACCAAGGAAATTCTCATTAACATCAATATTTGTACCTGGGCCATGCTGAGAACACATTCAGCTCTAACAGCACACATACAAATGACACCCATGTCAGTATGCAAGCTCAGAATCAAGATGCTCAGTTGTTGTGACAGTGGGTCAGATATAAATTTTAGTAACAGTATCATATTTGCAAGTAACACTAAGAGCAAATCTTCAAAAGTGGAATTATCCTGATGCTTGTGTACATAAAGAGAACATCAGAGTGCCATACATGCTACATGACACCCAACCACAGTGTGAACTGATCAAAATCAGTGCCAAAAAACAGCAAGGTCAGACTCAGGTTTGGCAGAATATCCCTCCCTACAAGCACAATGGCTGAATGAGCTGTACCCAGTAACACTTCTTACCTGCCTCATACATCTCTTCCAGCCCTTCAGAGAATTTGATACAGATAATGCCACAGTAATATTACTGTAAAACATATTTATCAGGATATCTTTGTAACTCAGGAAAGCTTGGGGGGGGAGTCCTATATCCAGTTTTATTGATATATATATACACACATATATATACACACACATATACACACATATTCAGTTTTAATGAATTATTCTAATAACTTGACTAAGGGATGATCAAACCTCTAGTAAATGTTACAGAAGTGTTTCAAAAGTATTCAGGTACCTCACTAAGAGCTCCAATATAATTTAAACACTGAGCAGGAAACTTCTTTTGTGTACTTAAGTCTGAGTTAGATACTATTACTGCAAGCCAGCAAAATGCAGTCATGCTAGGCTTTGCAGAGATTTTGGAGGAAAAGGAATTCCATCTAGATTCCTTTAAAAAAATGGAATATACTGTAATAAAAGACAAATATGATATATAACAGAACATCTCTACAAAATTCTCTGTATCATGCATGGCCATGGAAGACTCAAAATAACAAAAGGCAGAGAGTTGTCCAACTGGAAGTGTTCTGAAAGACTGAGGGAAACCCATTCAGAACAAATTGTCATTGCTGCTGACATAGAAGAATCACCATTGATAACAGAGTTATCTGATGCCACTTTGACAATGAGAAAGTTTTAGCACCTATAACAACCTGGACTTAATTAGTCCAGTAAGCTGGTGCTTTTCTCTTTAACAGATTAGGACTGATTGTTGGTAGCCGAAAATAACACATCCCTTTTTTTCCTGTACTGGGCCATCCTCAGTCCCAGATCTGGGGTAGACTGCTTTACAAGTTTCCATTACCTGAATCATCTTTTCATTTCTGTTTTCAGTACTGATAACCTCATATTGTGATCCAAAGTCCAGTTTTTGAAAAGGCAAAGGGTTAAGCTATTAACCTGAGACTCAACAATTGTCCCTTCTAATTATTTAGTGCCTGAAATTGAGACATTCACACAGTGCAACCTAGCAGTCATACATATATTGTCACTTACTACCACACTTTGAACACAGCTGTGTTAGTCAGTGGCCTTTTACTTCTCAACAGATTTTACTTTCCCTTGATCTTCCACTTTTTTGATGGCAGCTTGGATAGCTTCTTGATCACCCAGAAACTGGTGAGGGCCCAGAGGGTGCAAATTCTCATCAAATTCAAGAAGTATGGGCACACCAGTGGGGAGAGTAACATTGATGATGTCCTCATCGGAGATGCCTGCCAAAGGAAAAACACAGAGTTACACCTACAGCTTCCTAGTTGCCTATTGCCTTATTTCTGAGATTAGATAATCTTAATAACAGTCAAGGACACATTCCAGACTCCATCAACACCATCAGCTACTCAAGTATCAATTCCCAGCTAGGCCATAGCTTGGTTAGTGCTTTAGGAACAGCTAAAGGAGAGAATTCTCATGGAGGTGAAGTGAGTTTCTTAATTTTTTCAGCCTACACATGTGAAAAAAAGAGATTGCCCTGGAGACTATACTGTTCCTTTAATACAGAACATGGAGGTCAACAGGTTCTCCTCCACAGTTTCCCAATTCATGCATCACAAAAGATGATTAGAGTCCACATGTGCTACTCCAACATGAAATAACCTCTGCTAAATAACCAATACACACAGCCTCTTAAAAAAGGCAGAATACCAAGTTTAATTTTTCTCTTCAATTTTCTATGTGAAGCTTCTCACACAAGCTGTCTTAAAAGACAGTATTTAATTCTTCTACTGTAAGGATCACTCTTTGCCTACATATAATTTCTCATTAGCAAGTTTACAGCAGTGTCAACAGTACTCTTCTCTGAATTACTACATACAGGATACTCATTTGCACTTTCAAACGAGGGAATGGGGAAGAAAAAGGAAAGAAGTCAACTTCACAGCTTAGAGTATTTTCCACTTCACTAAAAGAATGTACACCTGGAGAAATTTTATTTTAGTCAGATGTGCTTAATTAAAATATTCTGAAGGCCCTGATCTCAATGAAATGGCTGGTTACTTTTACATCAAACACAAAAGTCTCCAGAGACTCCAACTGAATTTTGAGACCAAACATCCTAATAAAGTTTTCACAGAAGGTCTAAATAGTTGCATAAAGAAGCAGTGATTGCTAAAGATATTTTCATAGACAATTGGGCAAAAGAAAGTTAGTGTCACTGGGTATGTCAATATTTCTTTTTTCCTCCCCTTTGTAGAAGTACTGAGGCCACAGCAGCAGCCTGCTGTTGTAAAGCAGGACAGCTTTGAGCAATCCACACTTAGAAAATGCACACAATCAAGCTTCTTAAGCAATGACACCACATAAACTAGACCAAGGTGCACCAACAAAACATTCCCTTGATCAGATGACAAAACAGATGGTTCTCAGAATACATGGGTGCAAATTTACCAGTGATTTTTACATTAGGTGGAAAAGCAGAGCCAGCACATTAACAAGAAAACCCACACTAGTGAAGCCACTCAGCCACAGTAGGACAACAACAGGTCAGAAAAACCAGAACTAATCATGAGGTAGAAAGACTACACAAGCATGCAACTTCTGCAGTGATCTACTCTTGCTTAGATTATCACAAGCACTTAGGTTAGCCCTGAGTTTCAGAAAGGCATGGAGCACCAGAAATAAACCCTTTCAAAAAACTTACACGTTGTTACAATATTGAACATCAGTCCTTTAAAAAAATTCACACTGTGACAATTTAAGCAATCCTTGCATACAAGGGATACTCAGCTGTTGTAGGCCAAAGAATTAGACCTACAGATACTCAAGGAGTATCTAAAATTTTAAACCATCACAGAAATAAACAGGAAAAATACTGAGTTTGCTTACCAAGCATAAGCACAATTCTCAAGGACTTTGAAATAAGAGCTCAGGCAGTTTGCTTGTTTTGTAAACCAAGGATTCTTAAACATCAGATTTTAACAACATACATGTCACCATGTATCTACAGAGAATCTGTGCCTAAGAAGTGTTCTGTCCAGCTCTCAGATTCAGCCTCCCAGACTAAACCATTTGTATATACATAAAGCAGATGAAGTCATGCAGGACAGCTCAGGCAACTCATATGTGGTCATGACCTATGATATTTAAAAGGTTTTTCCTCTGGAGTGGAATAAACAAAACTAGCTGTAGCTACACTGATTCAGAAATGCATTTTACTGGTTTTTTACAGAACACAAAGTGACCACAAATGTCAGCTAGTATTGATTTACAAAGCAAAACAGTGCAGTCTAGGATAAACATGCTGCAGCAAGCACAATGGCTTTCTCAGGATTTTTCCTCCTACAGAAGTGTTGCCTCACAGCCAGAAGTATGGAAACACAAGCTGAAGTCAGAAGAAAATTCTAAAGAAACAACAGCATCCTGTGGTTTTATCTCAGCACAAGTAGAGTATTTGTAAAACATTTCTCTTCGTCAGGAAGCAAGAAGCTGAGCGGGATTGTCACACAAACTCTTCTGTTGCAGGGAGAGTTCGCCAGCCCAGGAGGCCAGGAGACCAGTGAAGGGTTTACAGCTCACACTCCACCCATTGCAACTGCAAGCCAACTGCTATCCAGTTACTTCATATGCTGTAACTCAAACCAGCTGACCTTTTCTTCCACTTCATCCAAGGCGGTCTGTGTCACAGCCTGTCATATCTCACAGGGAAGAAGGGTGAAATGAGGGCAAGGTCTCAACTGTTGACTACAAGGTGCAACAGGAAATAAGATCACTGAAGAATCAACACTCTTCCCTCCCCAGTTTAATCCCAAAGCCCGGGTCTCAGCACTGCTGAAGGGTTGCTAGAAGCAGTCTTTACCCAAGAAGGTTTAAAACCCTGGTCCTACCTACTTACAGCCGTGACAACCCACTGGCATTACTGAAATACCTGGGATGACTTCCTCAGGATCCCAGATAAAATGCTGACTGAGCAACTACATTCCTCAAGTGGACATCTCCCATGTTCTCTCACAGTCACCTATTAAACACTGTCCCTTAACAGCAGCTGAACAGCAGGAAGCAGTTTGGTACATGAACATTGTAATAATTTGGTGCGGCAATAATTACAAAAAAGACCATTGAAAATCCCATTCAGAATTCTTTCCCAGCTGACTTACACTCCATTTAATTGAACTGAGTGATCAAACCCACAGAGACCAGAAATATCTCAGTGCAACTTTAAGAATTCACCTTTATCTGATAGCCCAGGAAGTGCTTTGAAATATTCATAACCTGGAAAGTCTTACAGAGGACTGATTTTGAGCACCTGCAGCCAGCTTCTATAAAGGCTGGTTCAGCTTCTCCTTCCCTCTCACCTGCTCTTACCAAGTTCCTTCCTTCTATTCTTCTGGTTGGAGCAACACAAAAACCACATCAGCTATTGAGAATAACTACACCCCTCTTCCCCTGCATGCCAACTACACTTGAGGCCAGATGATTCATTCAATAAAACACAGAAGATCATATGCATAAATTCAGCCACAGTGGACTTCCTCTAGAACTAGTGCTCTGTAATTGAGATGCAAATCATAGCATCATTCCCACATGCTTAATGAAAATACTGAAGCTTTACCCTAGTAAGTTAAATATTCAGAGCCAATTTCTGTCCTTCCTATAGGCTAAGGAGAACCTAACTTCAACAAGGCAGAGGAGGGAAGTAAGCAGTGTTAGAATCTGGCCTTTGGTCTTTACAGAATGTTAGCTTGTTGTGCAGATTTTAAGGAAAGAAAGAAGATGGAGGGCTACAACCATGGCTGCAGCATATCATCTACATTTTTTTCATCCTTATGTCTGCCAAGATTTGCCACATCTATATTAGGTTTGCATGGCAAGGTTTCGGTAGCGGGGGGCTACAGTAGGGCACCAAAAAGAATTATGGGAGGTTGACCCTGGCTGGATACCAGGTACCCACAAAGCTGCTCTATCACACCCCTCCCCAGCAGGATGGGAGAGGAGAAGAAATAGGAAAAAAACTTCTGGGTCAAGAGAAAAGCAGTTTATTAAAGCACAAGCAAAGGCCAAGCACAGAAGTGAAGGAAAACAAAGGATTTATTCTGTACTTCCTATTAGCAGGTGATGTTCAATCTATTCCCACTAATTAGGGCTTCAGTATCATAGTAGTTGCTCCTGTGTCATTACAAATGACCCTCTTCCTTTTTCTTAGCTTTGACTGCTGAGCAGACATCCTATGGTTAGGAATATCTTACTTAGGAATAGCTTACTGGGGGACAATGCTGGAGAGACAGCCTTGATGCTCTGGGAGCACTGCTCAGCAATGGCCAAAATACAGGCCAAGTTAACTTGCAAAAAGGCTCAACAAGCTCACAAGAAATAAGCAGCAGAAGCACACAGAAAAGACTGGGATGGATGACAGTGAGAACAAGACCACCTCATTTCAACAGCATTGAATTGTTAGATCTCAAGTTGTTTTCTGTAACTGCACTCAGACACCACAGGCACATAAGTAGTATTTCCTTAAGAAAGTCAAGCAGCAGTAAAATAATCTTAAGAAGCCCTCAACACAATCCACACCGGGTTGCACAATGTGTAGCTCCAGCATGTAAACCACTAGAATATACTGCACAAGTATCACACTTCAGAGTAGTGCAAGAAAGCAAAATCCTGAGGGCACTGCTCTACTGCTCTCCCTGCCACAAACCGACAAAACCAGCATGAGGCCTTCACAGTCACCACATTCTACCTGCAAGCCCAGTTCCAGAGATCTGTCCCAGCTCTGTGACAACCAGTTAAGCCTAGTGATTGCAACATCTGCATCTTCAAGAGACCAGGTAACTCCTCTCCTCTGTTTTTAAGCCTGAGCATGACAAGGCTCAGTGAGCACCACACCATATCTAAGAGATGACAACCTTTCAACAGGTTGGAAACTCTAAGAATCAGGCCTTCCACAGGACCTGTCTTGAAGTACTTGAGAAGACCAGTCCTCAGGATCAAATGGTTGGGAGGAAAGAAAGAAGCTGAGACAGCCCACTAAGTCACCTGGTAACTCAGTCCATTGGACTGGGTCTCCAGTTAGTACTTCAATACAAACAGGGCAAGGTGGTCAAAAGTATTACACTAATGTCTTCACAATGGGATACTGCTAAAAGATTTCCAATCTGAAACACAAGTTATTAGATAAAGAGAAAACTATTCCTCCAAGGAACAAGTAAGTCAGCTGTAAATATATCCTGTGCATCTAGGATGCATATTTAGCATGGCAAATCCTATAGGCATTGCATACACCTTAATGATGGCCCTCCTCTGTGCACTGAGAAAACAAGACCAAAATCCAAACCCATTGTTAGCACAATACTCTGTTCTGATGACTGCATGCAAGCAGAACTCCATTTCCAGCTCTTCACTATTTTTGGAGTATCGCAGGCCTTTTCCAAAAAAATACCTCCTTGAAATAATAACTTCAAGGATACTCTGAAGTCTTTCAGAAAAAAAAAAGAAATCAGAGTGAAACACTTAGAATTGTTTCATCAGACCAAACTGAATGAAAACATTCATATTTACTGCCATTTCATCTTGGAAGATGTAGCTTAGAAACTTAAAGTTAACTCTATGACTAAACCATTCAAGTAGTCATGTAGTCATGAAGGATTGTTGCTTGAAGCATTTGGAGCCCAGTTTTCAAAATGCCAAAAAAAAGAAAGAAAAATGGTTCCAGCTAAGCTAGAGAGGCCTAGAAAATTCCACTCAAGTATAGGATATACTAAGCTTATAAAAAAAATTCACAAAGTCCATTTCACATTGGATGCTATAAATACAGTAGACTGCAAAACTTTAAGCATTCTTGAATCAGGTCCAACTCCAGCAAGACTCCAAAGTAACTCACAACCTTTCAGGAGAGAAGGGGAGGGACAGCCAGCAATGCAGACAAGGAACTCTTAGACCCAGCTAAGGAGCTCTTAAATAAAAAGTAAAATTAAAAACAATAATAATCATTAAAAAATAAGCAGGTTGAAATAATAGGGGTCTCTGTTCATGCTACCCTTCAGGCCAGTTCTTCAGTAATCCAATCTCCACTACATAAACAGCAGGAGAGCCAGCAGGTATCTGGCAATGCTTCTCTGGGGTAGCTGATGGACAGTCCTTAGTCAACAGAAGATCCTCTGCCAAGGATTTCTCATATTTCCCTGTGCAAGCATATGCTGGGAGGGTCAAGCACTGTAAGACAGACAAAACATAGCTTTTTTACTTTGGTTGAGTGTGGGCAGTCCTAGAAAAGGTTTAACAGTTGTCCCAAAGAAAAGTTCTGCATCATTGTTGCTCTCTACCTTAATGCAGCAAAGAGTCCATACTAACTCCAAAGGAACCTTTACCAGTTCCTGGTGCTGTCAGCTTCAGCCTCAGTGCATGCCTGCACAGAATGTGGCCCAGGGGCTCTGCTGAAGCCATGGTCACCTGTCAGCATTTCACCCCCAAAGGGCCTGTCCATTATAGTTTCATGGAACTGGTTCAGTTCTTGGGGTGCAGAGGAGACACTGTGGTTGTAGTTCCCCCTCTCCCTTCTTCCTTTGCAATTTTTATCATTTCACAGTGTGGACAACCACCTCTGAGAAAAAAGTGGAACTGACTGAACCAGCATTCCTCCTTCATCCTGGACCCCGGGACTCACAGCCTTTCTAGTTCCAGAAGCCATTCATTTCTCAGGTGTCTGATTTATGCTACAGCATCAGCTGTCCTCACTGTTCCAACATGGGCAAATGCAAAAGGTACTCAGCAGTCAGAGCCATAGGGGCACATAACAAAAGATTTCATAACTAAAAAAAAAAATTGAGTAGACACAATCCAGTCTGTGCGTACTTGCAACTACAACTCCAGTAGGCTCTATTAACACATATATAATCACTAAACTTAAATTACATAATTTCTTTGTGGGCAGAGGAGATTTATTTAATCTAATATATTCCATCTTCCAGTTTAGGATGACCTAGAAGCCATGAGATGAAAGAAGAAGGAGGGGGGAAGAATCTAACAATGAATAGGAAGTGATTTATCTTTAAGTCAATTCCCAAATAAGATGTTTCCAAGCCCAGCTCTGGGATCCTCAGCACAAGAAAGACATGGATCTGCTGGAGCAGGACCAGAGGTGGGCCACAAAAATGATTAGAGGTATGAAGCACATCTCCTATGTGGAAAGGCTGAGAGACTTGGGGTTGTTAAGTTTGGAGAAGAGAAGGCTCCTGAGGGCCTCTAAAAAAGATGAGTACAGACTTTTTATCAGGGTCTGCTGCAATAGGACAAGGGGTAATGATTTTAAAATAAAAGACAGTAGATTCAGACTAGATATAAGGATGAAAAATTTTATGATGAGGTTGGTAAAACACTGGAACACGTTCACCAGAGAGATAGCAGGTGCTCCATCCCTGTGGAGACATTCAAGCCCAGTTTGGATAGGCTCTGACCAACTTAATCTAGTCGAATATGTCCCTGTTTATTGCAGGGGGTTGGAGCAGATGGCCTTTAATGGTATCTCCCAATGCAAACATAAATAAGCAACCTTATGTTAAACTACCAACTTGGCTGTTTACTGGTATGCGTTTTCCATATTGGGAAAAAAGCTTTAGCAAGCACCTACTCTCTGCAGAACTCTCTGGTACACAACTTTTAAGTAAAAAATTATGAGGAATGAAGCCTCAAAAGTGATGCACCACGGTAATACTATAGAAGATCTTCCACAAACCAAGTCAATCACTTTTTATTCTACTGTGTTACAGCAATGCTTGTTTAATAAACAGATGATTTCAAACCTGACAAAACAACTGAATAAATCAAAAAATAATTGAGCCTGAAGAGTTTTTATCTATCTAGACCAACCACAAAATTAGTTTGAATACAGTAGTTTCAAATGAACAATGAGAAACAAGAAGAAAGCATCTGGCCCTTTTCTTAAATACTTTAACCTAACTAATTCTCCCTGCTTCCACATGCCCCAGTTTGATTCATGCTCAACTTTTTATTTACTCCTTGGAGACTAGAAACATTACATCCTGGCCCAGATAAGTAACACACATTACAGAACAAGATATAAAACTCCAAGCCACGGAGTAAGGAGCAGACAGGTAGACCAATAAAAAGACTCTTACCTTCAACGTGTTTCAGCAACGCCCTGCTGCTGTTACCATGAGCAGAGATAAGAATCATTTTGCCACTTTTTAGTTCTGGCACTATCTTTTCATTCCAATAGGGAAGCAGTCTATCAAGCACATCTTTTAGACTTTCAGCTTTTGGGAGATTATCCTGAGAGACATCACTGCATTTATAGCGGCGATCATTGTATATCACTTCATAGTAAGGGTGAGATTCAGATATGGGAGGTGGGGTAACATCATAGCTTCTCCTCCATATTTTTACTTGCTCCTCCCCGTGATTCAGAGCCATTTCTGCTCTGTTGAGCCCGATCAGTGCACCATAGTGACGCTCATTCAGCCGCCAGGAACTCTGAATGGGGACCCACTCTTGGCCCATCTCTTCCAGGATCAGCCATGCAGTCTGGATGGAGCGGCTCAGTACAGAGGTGAAGACTAGGTCAAACTCAAATCCCAGTGCTTTAAGGTGTTTGCCACAGTTCTGAGCTTCCTTTATCCCATCACTGCTCAGCTTCTGGTCCACCCAGCTGCAGAAGCGATTCTCCTTGGTCCAGGCTCCTTCCCCATGTCTTAAGAGAATAAGCCTATACTTAGACATTTTGTTTGCAGCTTAGCACAGCTGGCAACTTGGTCTGGCATCTAATAGTGATGATCTGGACAAAAACACGAGACAGATACATCAAACATCCCACAGATAATGCATAATATGTCAGCAAAAAGTAAACAACTATCAGAATCAGAACAACCAAAGAAACAAGTGTTTGCTGAGTATGTTTTTACATTTGAAGCCTCCTGGTTTTGAATTCCTCCCATTCTCGTGTAGGAAGAGAAGCACCATACTCCACCCAGCTTGTTGCAACTAGCCCACTTAACCAAGTACTTAGGAGCAGATTTGTACAAGCTGTTCCAGGCTACAAGTTTCACTCAAGTGTTTTAACAGAGCCTGACTCAGTATCACAGGCTGCCAGAGAAGCAGATCTCACTCTCATCAGTGAACTCAGAAGTGACACATGGAGCTCAAGCACACAAGGTCTTCTGAGATCCACGCTGGCTCTGAGGGAATGCAGGCACAGACAGCAACTGTGGCCCTCAGCCAGAGGAGCTGGAGAGCAGGACTGCAGAACTGGAAATGGCTCTGTATAATATGTTGCCTCATAACCCCATCCTGTCCTGCTCCAGTCTCTGGCTGATTTTTCTGCAGGCCACCTCCTCCATCATTCCTCCACACTCAAGTGTGACAACACATACACTCTGGGATGCAATATACAGCTAGCAAGTTCTCATTTCACTGAATCTAGAAGTGACCTCACAAATTATTCCATCCCCTTCCTGACTTTCAAATATATTGTTCCTCTTTTGCCTATGAAGTACAATGCCAGTTTCTCAAGGACCAGGATTAATGTTTTTACTTTTGCAGTAGGCAAAAAAGGCCTGTTTGTTGTCCTCAGTAAATAAGAGGTATGCATTCATAACGTCTAACAGTACCTTGCTCTGCTCTTGCTGACCAAGCAACACTACCCCTGGACTGTCTTCAGCGAGAGATACATTTTGACCACTGGTCAAAAGGGTCTGCAAGGTGGTCAAACATCTTCTAAGTAGATTATGCGATGCCAGAAAAGTCCATCTAACACAGCACTGCAACTCAAAGACCCACCTGATCACTCTGACCTGAGAAACAGGCTAGATTGCAATGGACAGAGTAGGGGGGAAAAAATATAAAAATAAAGCTCTACACACTGGAGGCACTGCTGTATATTCAGATGAATATTAAGAGCTTTTAAAACCATGAGCACTGGGAGACTGAGGTCCAATTTCTGCACATCCAACCCTAGACTAGATATCCATAAGAGACACACTTAAGGGAGCTCCCATCAAATTAGCTGCTTCAATTACACTCCAAGTGTCTCAAATCCAGGCCCACTGTGACCCTGAATCAGGTCAGCAGGATGGGATAGGCCCATTGCATGCTGGGTTTTGGGAAACACCCAGCACAATATTAGCGCTCATTGTTACCAGACTTTCAAAAAGTGTCTAGAAAAGCTCACTTAATTAACAGACTCAGTAATTTAATCTTGACTGTAACAGCACCTTAATTGTCCTAATTTCATCTCACAAAGGACACTATGCAAAATCTCCCCAGTTTTAATTTCTGCCTAATGGTACATCTTCAGAATTAAAAAGCCTTTGAGGACTGAGATTTTTTACAGAATATAATGACGTATTGTCTGACACACAATAGACAGTTAATAAATACAAAGAAAAGTCTTACTTCATGCAAGGGGGTAGGGGCAAAATTTGTGTATGGTATGGAACATCTCAGACAAAACCCCCTGCATGCTCCATTTTTTCCACTCATAACAATCAGTTGCACATTAAGCAAAGAAATCAACTATTGCTAGGATTCAAGTGTCATGTCACATCACACACAAAACTAAACTACACCTTTTAAGATCCCAGGTTTATAACAAAAACAAGTGTCAGATAAACCACTCTGACTTTAGATGGAAATGCTTTCTCCAACGTCCCACAGATATGATTAAAAAATTACAGGTGTCCATAGCATGAACTACTACAAACAAAATAGTCCCAGAGAAAAGTATCTCTGCAGATACAATCAATTAGTCTGAACAATAAGGTATTATCTACAGGAACAGACTGATATTTCACAAAATCAAATTAAGACCCAACCAAAAAACCAAGGCCCAACATTAGAGGAGGTGCACAAGTCTGGTTGGTACTTTTGGCCAAAAACTATAAAAAACTTAATGAATATTTAAAAAGTTATACAAAGGCCTAATATCATCTGAAGACCATGAACTCCATTTCAGTTACATAAAACATAGCATCAAACAAATTTAGAAAGGATTGGCAGTTAGAGAGTTGTTTTAAATATCAGTCCACTTATGGAAGCATTTAAGCTGGAAAGCCTTAGAGCAACACATGGAAATAATCTTACTCACCTTTCCTATGGCAAAGGAATAGCCTACACAAATTCCACCACAGACTCAAGAGCTGCTTTATATAGAGGCCACCACACACTCTTGTCTGATTACCTGCAGAGAAAGAATAAACACCGAGCACTCACAGGAAGGGATCACAACTGCAAATGGCTATGCCAACCATCATTTCCTCTCAGAGCTGTAAGAAATTTTAACACACACCTCTTGTATGCGCTGGGAAAGCCACCAAATTTCTTCTCCCAAGATGTGAACAAACAGTTCCTGCCTTTCCAACAAGAGAAGGTTTCTTGCCTCCCAGATGCCCGGGGATATGATTTCCTCCCCCAGATTTGTTTAGACTACAATTACCATAGCTTTAATGTGAAGAAATCTACTGAAATCCCTGGGATAGCAAGGAGGCTACAGACAGCAGACCTGAACCCAGCACACAGGCACTGAAACAGGTTGCCCAGAGAAGCTGTGGATGCCCCACCGCTGGAGATGTTCAAGACCAGGCTGGTTAGAGCTCTCAGCAATCTGCTCTAGTTGGAGGTGTCCCTGCCCATAGCAGTGCGGCTGGAAAGGTCCCTTCTTTAAGGTCCCCTCCAACGCAAACCATTCTACAGTAGAATAGAAACACGAGCATAGGACAGCAGCGTACACTGCTAACGTAATATCTTACACCGGCAGAGCTTTTGGCCAAGCACAGTTTTAAGGTCAAACTACCAGAAGTTCCAGGGCTCCTGCTGTGGCCCTTTATAAGGTCCCTGTACGGTGCACCTGCGTCTCTCGGCCTTCCCAGAGCACGGAGAGGCTCACCCAGAAGTAGGGCAGCACCTCCCGGGCGCACGCAAACACGGGCTGCTGCCTGCGCGGAGCAACGATTCGCACACAAACACATCAACACGCACACACGAGATTCCTCACCGCCACGACCCTCTCAGGAAGCCACTGCCTGCCCAGGGGTGCAAAATACTACCCTTCCCCTCGACGAAGCGCCGGAACAACCCTTCCGAGGAAGCCACTCCTCAGCCGCTCCCGCAGAGAGCCTCCCCGAGCCCAGGGTCATTGCACCTCCTCCCCCACAGCCTCTCACCGTGCTTGTCCCTGGCTCCAGAGACTTATCGGCCTACACCCAAGCCGCCTTAAGGGGACCGCTGAAGTCACGGCCACCCAACCGAGAGAGGGGTGGACCGCGCATCTTAATACGGCCACGGCGGCCGCGCGGAGCTGGGGGAGCCCGATTGGCTGCTCGAGAGGATGGGCACTTCCCTCAGCCAATGAGAGCGGGCCTGTGGGCGGTACCACGCTGGCTCCAGGCGTGCCGGGCCACGCGCCGCGCCGGGCAGCTCCCAGCGCTCCCGTGCCTGCTCGGGGCTCGGGGTTAACCAGCCTCTCCTGTTGCGGAAATTCTGGCCTCCGAAGGCTGGTCGATTTTCCGCGAGGGATGGCAGCAGAGATGCTGCTTCCCCCCGTGAGCCTGGGCACGCGGGCGGCGCTGGGGCGGGCTATGCTCAGCACTTTGTGAAACGGAGAACCGGGATCGCGCGAGCGCGGGCACAACGCGGTCGGAAGCAGCCAAGCTTCTGGATTCCCTCGAAAGCACCCCCGGTCCGCCTAACTCAGGTGGGCTTCGCTCTTCCGGAGTCACGGCTGCCCCGGGCCTCCGTCCACCCCCAGAGCACGTCCACCTCCTCGCCCACTGCCTTGGTGGGGAATGTGGCAGCGGGAGGGAGGGAGGCCGTCGGCTCGCTCCTTCGCCGCATCAGGGAAGAGGCGAAGGCAGGCGCTGGGCTGCCCGCAGCCGCTGGATCCTTCGTGCTTCTCCGCCGGAGCCTCCTCCGTACCAAGGAAGGAGCGTGGCATCAGTGCCGTGGGCTGCCGTCCATCACCCCCTCTCTCATTCCCAAGAGTTGAGGAAACGGGGCACAGAGACGGGGATTTTCACAGGCAGGGCTCACTTTTTCTTCTGGTTTAAGGACTTTTTGGTTTTCGTGAGAAGCAAGGCTCCAAAATTTCATTATTCGTAATGAAATCAGCAGAAAATAAAAAATAGATGTGAGTGTTCCTAAGGATCACGCTAGTGCCCTCATACCCACAGGCTGTAATCCCAATTCAAAGTAATCAAAACCAAGCAGACAGAGCAGCTCTGGCTAGAAACAGGAGAAGTGCTGTGGCAAGGTGGTTTCTTTTGCTGCTTCTATTGCTGTAGGTCTGCTTTTATTTTTCAAAGAAAGCAGGGCACATCTTTTACACCTAATCAGATTCACATTTTCTCCTCTAAATGCTCACCCTTGAACAGCCCCAATATAATGCCTAAAGGGTCACAAACTGACTGTACACTGAATGTGCTCTATCATCCTCTCCACAAGAGAGAGATAGGGGTGATCTTCCCTTTTTAATAAGTTAAAATGAAAATAAAAGATGGGGAATGCAGATTCTGATAGGAAAAAGCAAAACAAGGAAATTTAAGGATTGTAGCAGATGTATTAAAATAATGTGCTGTGAGCAGAAATGGTGTTTAATTTTGCATTTATAGGGACTAGGTCCTAAACTGTCAGTGGGAAAGAAGGATCAGCCATATTGAAACCATTTCACTAGGCTCTCAGCACAGTACAGCACTTAATGTGCTAAGAGCGGCCCAGGCTGCTGGTGAGCAGCATCCTCTGTCTCTTCAGTGGTTACTGCACTGACTTTGTTCCTTATTTATTTGGGAACTCTGGAAAGCATCTGCATCTCAGGGGAACATTTTCAGTCCTTTTCCTGATAAAAAGAAATATGCCTGACCTCAACACAGAACTACAATAAAATCTGTTGTGTCTGCAGAGTATTTCCACTGGATGTGAATTGTACTTACAGTTACACATAAAGTTACTTACAGTAACTTACACATAAAATCCTTCTCATCTCACTCACTAACTTTAATGTTAACAATTACTTCATTTCTGTCAACTTTGTCTAAGCGAGACCCTACAGTATAAACCCAGTCCTGCCTATTTAATCAACACAGTACTCAAGTTCACTGTACCAGAAGAGTTTGATTATATCCACGCACTATCTCAAAATTAGTTAAGAGAAATGCTCCCACATCATGCTGCATGATCACACACCTGCAGTCACCCTGACTCCAGGAAAACTGGTTGATTGACTCTGCAAAAGAAGCAAAGTTCCTAGAAAGAAAAACATCTGTTCTTGAGTATCAGCACTGTGTATTTGCTGCACATCAATCATTAAGAATACAATTAAAAGAAAGAAACATTACATGCTGATATGCAGTCATAGTTACAATGGAGTACACAGTAACCCATACCACAATCCAGGACCTCCGTGGCCATTACATACAGATTTCTTGTCTCCATTAGTCCTTGAGCAAGACCATTTCATTAGCATGGCAAAAACAGCCTAATGAATTTGATTCACATTTCAAACTATACAAGGACAGATGGCTCAAAGCCAAAACCCTGTGCCTGATTTCTTGCAGACAGCTATACTCATTTGGCTATTATCTCTCAGACCAGCTGCACTGTGTTTTTGAGGATCTCTGTTTTGGAACCCTTCCAGGTGGTAAAGTTGGAATGTTTATGGCAGATGCAGTTCAGGAAACTCCTCAACACATAAACTTCTGCTGGGGCACCACTGCAACTGCACTGTGCTGAATAAAGGCCTGGAGCTGAGCAAGGCAAAACCAGAAGAAAACAAAACTGGAAAGAAGAAAGGCTGACTAATGATTGATGAAAACTGGCAAATGGAGCATTCTTCACTGATTATGCCCTTGCTATCTTTTCACAGAAAGATTACTTTGTTTGATGCTAGATCAAGTATTTGCCATAGAGCACTGCAGACATACCCACTGTAATTTGCAGAGAACCCTCAGCTCTGTCTTCATTAATAATCTCATCTTCAAAAGAAACTTATATAATCAAGTCCTTGCGCTCTTCGATAACTCTGAAATCTTCTTTCTAAAACCCCCTCCTGGGTGCTTCTTTAATGAAAGAATTTATGCCTTCCTTCCTAGACTCTCCCCACTCCTTTCCACCTTCAGTTGCCACCAGGAGCATACCCATTTTCTCTGCCACCCATATGTGTGCCTAGGGAATCCTCCCCTTTTTCTTGCATACAGGCCCTTTCAGGCCATTTTTCAACACCTGACTTTTTTCCTGTACAAAAGATCTAGATCCTGTCTTTTCTCTGTCTGCTATCCATGATATTGTCTGAGATTCCTCTGCAACTATTGTGATGGTCCACTTTCACTTGAGGCCAAATTTGTATGGAGAAAGGTCTGGAAGTACAACACATTATGCAGAGAAACATCCTTCTTTCCTCCTACACACGAGACCTTGCTCTATAATACAAGGAAAACAAACCCTTCTCTGTCAGAGCTCAGAGAGCATGTAGCAGGCAAGGACATGTCAGGCGGCTTCTTTTTGTTAGAGCCACTCACGGCATCTTGCATTAACCAGACAAGTTGTTCTCAAAATTTTCTTGGCTCAAGCACACCTATGCATGGGTCATTTTTCATCACACATCTACCCCTATTTGCCAAAATATCAAACCACCACGTCTTAAACCAAGCCTATTATTACCTAAAACTTAAGGGTACACCTGACAGAGCAGTGAGGCATACCTTGCACACCAGTAAGTCACCCAATTACATTTTAAGCTTCTTAGCAAAGGACCTTTTTCACCTTTTGTTTTACTATTTTAGGCACTGTTTGACAAGTGCTTAATACAATGCAGCTTTCATATAAATACATCCTGTTTGGGTAAGGAGGCAATATATAACTTCAGTATCTCAGTAGATTCTCTTTATGTCATACCCAGAAGTACAAGTCTATGTAAAGAGAAAATACTCTACTTTTTATTTCCTCCAACTGCATCGCTCAGAGAGAAGGTCTGTTAAAAAAAAAAAAAGTGGAGTGTGTAAACACAAAATAACCCTCCATTTGTCACCAGAATCATAGTAAGTGCAGAAGTTTTTCTGAATCATTAAGTACCAAATAAATGAGAAAGAGGAAGAAAATACATAAAAGCCTTCATTATATGCAAAACGATGGAGGAAAGCTACTATGTGAGGCGTTGTATTCTAAACCTGAAGTGGGAATTTAATTTTTTATGCAATCCCAATGCCTATGTCCTGGTAATGTTATTCTGAATTAAAAAGATGACTTCTGCCTGTTCAGCTGAAGTCTTAACTCAAAAAAATTATTTTACTTCTGCATACCTTAGGCTGAAAACATACATGTGAGAAAAAACCTTACGTTCTCTATGCCCTCAAAACCATTACATGGTCATTTTCAGATAAACACCTTACCTTCTGGTCATAGTATTGTACAAATTAACTTACTGTAGTAGTATTGAAAGCAAAAAAAAAAAAAAATCCTGTGATGAATCTGCCTTTTTTTCCCTCAAGATAAACAAAGCGCTCTAGACATTAGACGTCACTAAGAAACTGTCTGGGAAGAGATAATTTAAAAAGACCTTTGAAAAAAAAGAAAGCAGAAGGGTGGTATCTAGTCCAGTAAGTTAGTAAGTTAGTTAGAAAACAGACTGGATAGTGCAGATACTAGAGCATGGCAACACCACATAAGAATCTGGGCAAATACAACCAAAAGGGTAAAATGGGAATTCCAGTGTCATTGCAGAGAATGGTGAGAGTAACAAACACACACCACACATACTCAAGTTTGAGTGTATTAATGTCTATTAAAAATTAATGGTTCACCTCAAAAAAAGCTGCTCTAAAGCTTTTTAGTTCTATGTCATAATGAATCCTGGGTTAACTAAGACCTTGTCGATGTGGGTGTGCACAGTTCTCTCTGTATGTTTGTTTTCTCACAAACACTACAAATCACCAAGATGTATCCGGTAGTGCCTATGTTTCTGTTCACGGTATGTGGCTCTCTTGCAGCACGCCACTTTACAAAACAAGACAGGCTGACGCTTAGTTTGGTTTTGAATGGAGCACAAAAATGAGTTTCCTATGGAGAAAATTTGTCCTATGTGTCACAATTAGACAATATAAAGAGAAGGACTGGGTCACACTGTTACACTCAGCTGGGTTGCTCTTGACCTTAAGAAGCAACAAAATCAGACCTCTCTTACAGGATTGTTTCCCAGGAAACTTTAGGAGTTAAGCTGCTAAATAAATAGCTGTGTATCACAATTTAATTCCTGCTTCCCTCCCCCCTACCCTACTTAATTTCTTTAATAAAAAAGGAGCATGAGTAGAATGACAGGACTAATAAATCATGCAGGAATGGGGAGTGAGAATATCCAACTTCCCAGAGTTTTCAATTTAAATTTTCATCTCACACCTGTTTTACTTACATGTAAAACCATTCATTAACATAATTTTGTGTCTGATTTCCACTGGTTTTTGATTCAGAATTAGTCTACTCTTCTGTATTGCCATCAGATCTAGCAGTCCACAAAAGAACCTGGAAAAATATTTTGTTTGTAATTCAGTATCTCCTTTTTATGTTACAAAGAAAGACACTTTTCTGTTTCCCAGAGAGACAAGGCATTTGTCACGGGAGAGTGGAAGGCTTAGACAAAGTTTTAAAAAGCCTTGCCAGTGAGTCTTGTGGTGCAAGAAGACTCCCTTGCTTTCTAAACGCCTTCTCAGGGAAGCGTTAGGTGTGGCTGAATTCTATCTTAGCCTCGGCCTGTGTTAACAGTTTAAATTTAAAGGAATTACAGAGATATTAAACCACTTTGTCCCACAGATTTTAATGATGGCAAAATGAGAATATTTATATAAAATGAATGATTTATTTTATACAAATGATCAGAACTATTTACTACACAACATAAGCACTAAACCAATATAAACACTAAAAATCTACTAGTAGACTATAATATACCATAAAGTAGTATAGTGCACTGTAACAAAGCAATTATTGAAGCAGTTATATTAAAGCTAGCAAAATGAAATTAAGTAGACATCTGATGTAACTCACCCATACCAATGTTCGTGGGGAGATCTCTTCTCTCAGCCTCGAGGAGCAACCTTGGAGGGTGTCCCCAGCCAAGAGAGGAATATCCACACATATACCCCAAGAAGGGTTATGTCAGAAGAAACTGACTGCATGAGAAGGGACTGGACTTTTCATAGTATAAAGTGCTTGACTGCTAGTCACACTTTTACAGGTGCTATCAGCTTGTATGTCAAATCTGACTTCAAAAAGCAGGGTGTGTATTCAAAGTTTGATGAACCAGGATGGTTTTAGCATACTTAACACCAAGACAACACTCTGGCTCCAGCAGTTGATCTTGCATGATAGCTTGATTAATAGCTTGATTGTATCTTGTGTCTGGTCAGGGTGGAACTATCCTGCCACAGCATTAACCAACATTTAACAGTTTGGATAGGTCAAGTTTAAACATTCTGAACTGCTGTACTCTGTCGAAGTCTGCATCTGTAATATAGTGAATAAGGGACTGAGGCAAGATCAATACAATGGATCTGTAAAAAAAAAAAGGTTCTGCTCTTCTTAAGGCAACAATTGCAGAAGAAGTTACATTTGGCAACAAACTACCCATCTTCTTTTTGGGGAAAGGGTATAATACCTCTAGAAAGATATCATAAAACAAGGCCACTACCACTGCTGCATCATGAGCTGCTGGGGGATACAGAGCTGGTGATGAAGCACTGGAAAACATATAGTGTTGAAAGCCATTCCGAGGACATCAGGGACAATATAAAAATAAGTTAAGAGTTTGGTATTAGACTGGCTGAACAAAGAGCTGGCACTGTTGGCAGACATTTTAACAAATGGCTTGTTTCCATGCTATTGGATCAATGGGAAATCTCCCAATGGAAGTAACCTCTGACCGCAAATAAGTAGGTAATAACCCAACTCTGTACAGCACGTATTGCTACCTACCAGCTGTAGCTGGCCCACAGTCCTCATTAATTGCTGCATTTAAAAACAAGCTGGAGGTGCTGAATTCATGAAAGCACTACTAGTCATAGTAAATACAACCATTCTAAATTTTAGACACTCTTTCCGTTTCCCCTGGGATGTACAACATGTTGAAAGTAAGTGCCAGTTGACAGGAGGGAGAAAACAGACTTGATTTCCCCCCCTCACGCATAACAACACTTAAAAGTGCCAGTTTTGGAACATCTTTGATAGAGAGTGGTGAGCTGAGGCAGGAGAAGCAGTCTGAACATTTCAGTATTGCATTTCAGTGCAAAAGACAGCAGGAAAAAGGAAATTCTTTTTTGTGTCTTTAATTTAAAGATCAGGTAATTCAGAAAATCGATATGTTAATGATAACTGCTAATTTATTCTTCAAAACTCAGATTGTGTCTTTTGAGTTCCTACCAGAAAATTTTCATGTCTATTTATTTATTATAAATGCAAGCCACTTTCATTTTTTTTTCTTCTAATACTTCTTAGGAAAAGAGGCAGAGGAAGAGAGATTTCCACCTTCTTTTTATTACAAAATCTAAGGAATGCAATATGCAATTAAATCTGACGAGAGACGATTGAAGAAAAGTGAAAGCAGTGGCCACACACAAGTTTAACTCTGCCCCCGTGTGTGCAAACATTAAAGCACAACCCCCACCCATTTCCTAGATCCTACTTTATTTTTGTGCAAAAGGATGTGTCATTTGTATTTATTATATATATGTTATTATATATGGCATCCATGATGACCATGACCATGTAGCTAACAGGAAACCTTTTCTCTTCTACACTCCGTGTCTCTCTCCGCATTATGAAACTCCTTTATGAATGCACTGGCTGCTGAAAACAATGCAGATAACATCCTGGGAGTCTAGTATATACCTCCTAGCCAGGAGAATGACACCAATGAATTATTCTTTAAGGAACTAAGGGACATTTCCAAGTCAACATGCACAACTGTCCTTATGGAGGACTTCAACTGGCCAGAAGTTAACTGAGAGCATCACACAGCTGGTACAACCCAGGCCAGAAGATTCCCAAAAAACCTAGATGATGACTTAATGAAACAGGTCCTAAGGGAGCCAACACAGAAAGATCCCTCCTTGATCTGCTGCTTGTCAACAGATTGGATCTCATGACCACAGTGGAGACTGGTGGCCATCTTGCCCATGGTGACCACAAGGCAATCAAGTTTAAAATCTCTGTTGACAGGAGGAAAAGTGCCAGTGAAACCTCTGCTCTGGACATGAGGAGAGTAGACTTCAGGCTGCTCAGGGAATTACTAAGTAAGGTCCCCTGGGAAAATGTTTTTGCAGGTGCTGGGGTCTATCAGTACTGGTCACTTTTCAAACATGTCCTAAGGGCATAGAAGCAGGCAATTCCCAAATGTCGGAATTGAAGCAGGCAAGGCAGAAGGCCAGATTGGCGATCTTCTCTTGGAAATAAGGCAAAAAAAGAAGGTGAATACTCAGTGGAAGCAAGGTCAAGTGACATGAAGAATACAGAGACGTTGCTTGCTGCCGTAGGGAGAAAATTTGTGTTGCTAAAGCTCAACTGGAGATGAAGTTGCCAGAAACATGGAGGAAAATAAAAAGGTTTTTTTCAAATATATTAATGACTAGGCATTATAGAAATATCCTCGGCCCATTAGAGGATGAAGATGGTCACATCACAAAGGGGACAGAGACAAGGCAGAGGTGTTTTACACTTTCTTTGCCTCTGTCTTCAACACAGGTAACAGACCAAGGAAGTCTCAGTGCTCTGAGCTGGAGGACTATGACTGCAAGAATGATCAACTCTGAGTCAAACCTGAAATTGTGCAGGATCTGCTGCTCCAGCTGGATCCCTACAGATCTATGGGGCCTGGTGAGATTCATCCAAGAATCCCCAAAGAGCTGCTGATATCATTGCAAAACCTTTCTCAATGATATTTGAGCTGTCTTGGGAATCCAGAGAGGTCCCAGCTGACTGGAAGCTGGCAAAGGTTGTCCTGATTTTTAAGAGAGGCAAGAAGGAGGACCCCGGAAACTACAGGACTGTCAGTCTAACTTCAGTGTCTGGTAAAGATATGGAGAAGATTACTCTGGGAGGGATTGAAAAACATCTGAAAGACAACATAGTCATTGGTCACAGCCAGCATGGCTTCATGAGAGGAAAGTTCTGATGATCCAACCTGGTAACTCACCTCACTGATCAAGGGAGTGGATGTAACCTTTTTGGATTTCAGTAAAACTTTGGATACTGTCTCTCACAGTACCCTTCTGTATAAAATGTCCAGCACCCAGGTGGATAAACACATCATGCAATGGGTGAAAAATTGGCTCATGGGTCAAGCAGAGAGGATAACAATGAATGAGGTAACATCAGACTGGCCACCTGTCACTAGTGGGGTTCTGCAGGGCCCCATCTTAGGCCCAATGCTCTTCAACATCTTCATAAATTACTTGGACTTAGGAAAGGACACTAAGCAAGTTTACAGATGACACAAAACTCAGAGGAGCTATTTACTCCCTTGAAGTCAGGGAGGCCCTGTAGAGAGACCTAGAAAAATTAGAAGACTAGGCAATCACCAACCATATGAAGTTTAAAAACGAAAAGTGTCAGATTCTGCACCTGGGATGGGGCAACCCTGGCTGTTCGTACAAATAGGTGAATGAGATGTTGGAAAGCAGTGCCAGGAAAGGGACGTGGGGTGGTTGAATATGACTCAGCAGTGCCCTGGTAGCCAGGAGAGCTAACCACGTCCTGGGGGGCATCAGGCAAAGCATCACTAGCTGGTTGAGGGAGGTGATTGTGTGACCTCACCTTGAATACTGTGTGCAGAAACATATTAAGCTATTAGGGAGCATCCAAAGGAGGGCAACAAAGATGGTGAAGGGCCTTGAGGGGAAGCCATATGAGGAGCAGCTGAGATCACTTGGTCTGTTCAACCTGGAGGAGACCAAGGGGAGACCTCACTGCAGTCTAAAACCTCTTGTGAGAGGAAGAGAAGACCCAGACCCTGATCTCTTCTCTGTGGTGACCAGTGACAGGACCTCAGGGAATGGCCTGAAATTGTGTCAGGGGAGGTTTAGGTTAGACATTAGAAAAAGGTTCTTCACCCAGAGGGTGAATGGGCACTGGAACAGGCTCCCCAGAGAAGTGGTCACAGCACTAAGCCTGACAGAGTTCAAGAAAAGTTTGGACAATACTCCCAGGCACACAGTGTGACTTGGCATATTCTCGGATTCTGCAATCCCTGTTTATTGATGCATTTTAGGACACCTCTGAGCTTTACCAATGACAAATCATGGGCCAAAGTGCCCCTGAATGAAACCATCTCTCTCTTTTGCAGAATCCATGGGGGAACTCAACAGGGTGTCGCAACACCCCAGTGATTGGCACAAATGAGATATGCAGGGACAAGCCATAGCACAGGGACAGGGTGCTGCAGGAGCTGTTCCCTGCACAAACACCAGCCAGATCAGGACACACCTGCCCTCAGCCCTTATCTTTTGATACGGAACTTCAGCAGGAGGAAAGGTCCACAGGGCACTCCACTGCACGCCCCAAGTAATCACCTCCTCAATTTTAAATTGATTTCAGCCTTCACATTAACCTGTGTGAGTTGCATGTGCAGAGAAAAAGCTGCAGCCTTGTTTTCCAGATATGGGAGGAGCCAGAGCACCACTGACACTCCACCATCTTCCCCTGCCCTGGCCAGAGACCAGTCACTGTTAAACCAGACGGGCAAGAGGCAGCTCCAGCAGAGCAACCCAAACGGCGTGAAGGATCATGGCAACCTATGTGCAGCTGAGCACCACAGCCAAGATGCCCCTCCTGGGGCTGGGCACCTGGAAGGTACCAGCTTCAGAGAAAAGCACCTGTATTTGCAGAGCTCTCTGGCACAAAACTTTACTCTCCCTGGTCCAGCTCTGAGAGCTGTCCTGGTGCTTGGGGCTCTGCTCTTCCTGGCTGTTGGGCTGAGTCCGAATTGGAGTGGAAGTACATAGGTTGGAGTTCAAGCCCTGGAGCCCATGTTTATGACTGCAAGACACAGTGTTCTTATAAAGAAGAACAGTCCCACCAACCTGGGGGTGGGGGGGAATTGCTTTCAGTAAGATGGTTTCCCTGGTGTTATTTTGCTTGGATACAGGTATTCGAGATGTACTGATTTGAGATTCTTAATATCTATGCTTTCTTTTCAGTCTCCAGCTGGGCAAGTAAAAGCTGCAGTGATGGCTGCCATTGATGCTGGGTACCGCCACTTTGATTGTGCCTATGTGTACCTAAATGAGAATGAAATTGGGGAAGGGATCCAGCAAAAAATCAAAGAAGGATTGTGAAACGAGAAGGTCTCTTCGTTGTCAGTAAGGTAAGGATTTGATGCTCTTGCATCCTGGAGCAGCAGTAGGGGAATGCTTTGCCTATAGTATTTTATAGTAGGAAGCTTAAGTACTGGAAACAAATTTTATGCTGTAGGATAAAGCAAATCATAACATCATTCAAGTTACTCCTGACAGAAGCTTACTGCTTCACCCCATTCTGTATGGAGAGTTAGGAAGGACACGCTGAGAATGTACCCTGCTGTGGTCTGGCACTCTGTTGAGGAGAACCAGAAGTTCTGGGGCATGGATGAGGGGAGGCCAACTGCAGACTGATTAGCACAAAATAAGGGAAGCAGGGAAAGGCAGAGTGGGCCAGGTAGCACCAAGCAAGATAGAAACCTGTGATGCAGAGGTCTGAGACCACTCGGTGTAACGGACTGATACAGAGGCAGAACCAGTTTGCTAATGGCCCCTTGCTGACTGCCTAAGTACAGCAGAGGAGATGGGCTTGGCACTGCCTGGTGCTTCTTCCAGCATCTGGGCTCAGTCCTGACAAAGGAGTGTCTCTGCTGTTTGAGTAAGACAGTTCTGGGCTCCTTGGAACAGTGTTATCTGCTCAGCACCTTTCAAGGAAGGTATGACTGGCATGTTCTTTTTCTTATTAAGAAAACCAGGCTATGCAGGTGGATTCTGAAGTTACTTTTCACTGAGGCAAAGGTTGGTGCCAACCACTCTGTCGTTTGCCTCATATTGGCTTTGCCTGCTACATTCAATGCAGGAGTTCTCTTCATGCTCAGGAATGACAGACACATGTCTCCTAAAAGCCTCCTATTGCCAAGCCAGACCCTGTGTAAAAGGGGGTAGCACAAATTATGTGTGAACTAATGGAACCAGACTTTGTTATGATCCTGCTCAAACACCGTGTTGCCATTGCACACACATTGCCTTCAGTGTCCAATCCCAGAGCACTCCAGATCTGAAGAGCACTAACATGACTTCATTCCAGCTGACCTTCCAAAGGATATGGAGCATTTCTGTGCTGTACAGGAAAGCACTTGAGAGCTTTAATCCAGGAGGTTACAGTGTGCCTTGTTTTTTTATCTCTAGCTGTGGTGCACATTTCACGAGAAGCCTCTGGTGAAGGGAGCCTGCCAGAAGACTCTTGCCAACCTGAAACTGGATTACCTGGATCTCTACCTCATCCACTGGCCTACTGGGTTCAAGGTACAGTAACAGCAAGGCCCTTGGCTTTTCCTCCTGGGAGAGCTCCTCAAAACTGCCAGTAGCACTTGCAGCACCAGAAAGAGCATGTGTCTGGTGCGTACCAGCACTGTCAGTGCTGCCCATTCAGCTTTACTCTGCCCACGTCAGTTGTGCTCCTGATCTCTGCCCCCAAGACTGCAGCTTGCACAGCGTCCTCTGGCCTTTTGATAACAGAGAGGCAAACCTAGCACTAAGATCAGGCCTCCCAGCTGCAAGCATAGGTTAAGCCTTTTTCCCTTTTTGCCTTGCTTTTACAAATCCAAACCATGCTCATCTGAAAATTACCCCTTGTGGGACAGAGGGCTGCACTTTGCTGTGCGACAGAAATTTTTTCCTATTCAGGTTACAAAATCACAGAATGAAAGTAAATGCTTCAAGATTCCCCTTTCTCTTTTTAATCATCAAGTCCTTAATACAGGAGAGATTGAGCTGACCTTGCCTGTAGGAGACTTAGTGTTGTTTCACAGACCTTGAATTTCAAAAGATGAGACTTTTAGAAAACAAGTTTTCAAAGACTATATGCACTTCAAAGATTTATGTCAGTTTATATACATATATATACAGACACACACTGTTAGCCTCTCCTTTCTGCTACACCCAGATCAAAATCTCTAGTCTACCTAATGCTTTCGAGCTCAACTTCATTTTATTCTCTCAATATTGTTTTAGTTAGATTTATGTGGACAAAGCTGTCAAGTGAAACTGCATAATATTGTGGCATCTACAAAATTCCAATCATTCAAAATACTTTGGCCATACTGTCTAGTTACAGGCTGTTCTAATTTTCCTAATACAGCAACTTCAACAGTGAGCCTCCCCATGGGACATCTGTCAGCAAATGTACTCCAGCATAAACTGTGTATGTTCACAGGATCAAAGTGAATCCTCCACATACCTTTTCAAAAACAACTAAAGAAGTTATTATTCCTAAATTTATATAACAGAACAAGACTTAGAGTGAACTCATGAAAGGCTCCTGAATATTGTTCTGTTGAGTCCCTGCATGCTTCCCTGCATGCATTTTGTGGATGATTATGTCCAAGGATCCAGTAGATGTCTTTACTGGCATAGTGGGTTACAAAATGCATGAACTAAGAATAAGAAGTAACATGAAGAATTAAGTTATAATGAGAAATACTTGGGTTTTTTTCATACACTATTAGCTTTAGCTCCTTATATCCCCACTTAGTTGTTTTATACAACAAATATCCCAGCAGAGATTATTTCAAGCATTTTCTCTCACTGACAGGCAGGAAAGGAGCTGTTTCCCAAAGATGACAAAGGCATGGCTATACCTAGCAACAGTGATATTCTACAGACGTGGGAGGTAAGTTCAGCCCACAGCAGAAGAGGCATGTCCTGTCCCCATCAGTCATTTCCATGGTTTCATTACCTTCAGCTGTCACACAACTGTTGTCTCATTCAAGCAAAATTAGCTGGAAGGCACATAAGGCAGTACAAATTACTTTTTCATAATGAGCATGCTTCATCCTCACCTAGTTATTCCTATTCCCTCAGTCTTACTTGACCATCTGACCCACAGTGAGCTGCACAAGCTCTTCCAGTGGAGCTGCAGACCAGACAGAAATTAGAAAAAGTTCATTGCTTGACCACAACAACTGTACAATTTTCACCACAGTTTTTGCACTCTTCTTGAATTGCTCAAACAAATTCCACAGAAATAAAGATATTTTAGGTGGAGATCTTGCCTACAGTGTGGGCCACAGCCCTCCAGTGCTTGCACGAAAGTGGATTACTGATTGTCATCATTCTTTTCCACACAGTCAGGGAATGAGAATTTAGGCTTTGGTGAGAGGGCACTAATGTACCAGTACCTGCTTCTCCCTCAGAGAACTTTGCAACTCTAAACAGTTATTTTGTGCTGCTCATGACAGGGAAAAAAAAACCACATCAGGAAGAACATCATCATGATCTGCCTTGCATACTGAATGTAAACTTTGCTCTTCTTTGTATCAGTCCATGGAAGAGCTGGTGGACTGTGGTCTGGTAAAAGTCATTGGATTCACCATGAGCAGATTGAAAGAATCTTGAACAAGCCAGGACTGAAGCATGTCCAAGTAAGTTGCAAAGTGACTGCAGGTGACTAGTTTTCAGGGATTATAAATATCTGATACCAGTTGAATGAAGGAATGGGAAAAGGGAAAACAAAGTACACAGCATGTACTTTAAATCCCTCTCTGTGAATATTTGGGAGTACAAGGCACTTGGATATTTCCTTTTTGCTATCACCTTGCTGAACCACTGTTTACAAATGCTGGAGTATTTCCTTAGAAACAGTTTTCCTGGAAAAATAAAGAACTCAGAGATGAGCTTTGTGAAACCCCCACAGCAAACTCTGTATGAGCACTTTGTATAAAAAGAGATATTTTCAATACTAAGGATGTGTATTATTATGCAGGCCATGGGCAAATTAGGGGAAAAGGCAGCCTGTAGCTGGATTAGGAGATAATCCATGAAGCACAGTATTACAGCATTTCTGCCAGTAACAGCCTCTGTGCTTTTGTGTTGGCAGATTGAATGTCATCCATACCTCACCCAGGAGAAGTTGATCAAGTACTGCCAATCCAAAGGGATTGCTGTGACTGCATACTGTCCTCTTGGCTCTCCTGATAGACCATGGTAAGACTGCTTTGCAATTTGCAAGGAAGCTGGCATGGATTATGTTTATAACATTGAAGCTTCACCTGCAGCATTAATTGTTCATCCAGATACAGATCCCTGTTGCTGCGCTGGATCCTTCTATGGAGGCTTCTTGCCACTGATTTGTTTTCTCTGTGTAGGGCTAAGCCAGGGGATCCTTCCCTTCTGGATGACCCCATGATCAAAGAGATTGCAGCCAAGCACAACAAAACCCCAGCACAGGTGAGTAGGAGCCACACAATGGGTACTCATTCCTATAACACAACCTAAAAAACAGAGATCAGGAAAGGGTAGAACCTCTATCCATTACCCAATCCATGAATTGTGGCACTCTCTTGATTTTTCCCTAACAATGCAGACTTTTTATGACCTGCAACACATGCTACCACTATTTTTTTAGCCCTACAAAGATTCTTGACCCATCTTCAGATGTCACTTCCCCTCTCAAGTCCTCTTGCAGAGAATGAAAGCCTTGCATAGACTGCTAAAAGCCTAGCTGGGAAGAAAAGGAATTGTTCCAAAACTGGATGGGAAAGGAGTCGTTCCGTGTGAGGCTCCACCGCTTCCCTTTTTGCTCTCCGGGCAGTGCTACATGGATTGCAGGGACAGGAATGGTTTGAAATGCAGCTCTGCTAAAGTGCATATAGCTTAGAGAAAACAGCTGTTGGAACAGGCTCTGCTTCCTCCAGAGCAGGAACCATCCTCTTTCTGACTCAGTTGTCTGTTCTTGCAGGTTCTCCTTCGCTTCCAGATCCAGAGAAATGTGATTGTGATTCCCAAGTCTGTCACCCCACAGTGCATTGTGGAGAACTTCAAGGTGAGGCATTAGGAGTGAGCTGGGTGCTGCCCTTCAGGGACAGCATGGCTTCTCCCTGCACAGCAAACAGAGATACTTTCTCATCCTTGCCATGTACTCCTTGGATAGCAGGACTGCACTTCTTCCTTTTTTATGCTTAACTAATCTTTACTGAATGTCAAGCCAGGCCTATTTTTGGAGAGGTTAATGAAGAGCCCTCATATGGTATTTCCTTTTCTGTGGCTTATGGATGAATCTGCAGGCACTGCTTGCTTGGAATCCCCACACAGTAACATGCCAGAAATATCTTATATAGAATAAGCACTGTTCATAAAATAGTTCCTGTGTCCATAAAACAAATTGTCCTTCTATCTGTTAATTCAGTGGCCCATGAGTGAAAATCGACTCTCTGGCATGGAGCTGCTCTCTAATCCTGTCTTTCTTCTCATTTTTTGGTTTGTCCAAAGAGGTAATTTCCAGTTGTTTCTCTTTTTAGGTGTTTGACTTTGAATTGACCAAAGAGGAGATAGCAACTATTCTGAGCTTTAACAGAAACTGGAGGATCTGTGAAATGAACACGTAAGTGACACTGACTGTTTTCTTCCAAATCTTAAATTTTGAATATGCTTTACAAGGAATTTTGTGTCACAGCTACTAGGTAGAATGTAATTCAGTTTATTTAAAAATCACACCAACTCAAATTCCAACTGGTTTTCTCAAAATTACTTTTTCAGGAGAGGGTTTAATATTTTCATTTTAAAAACAAAACAAACAAAAAACCAAAACAAACATTCTCATTTTGAATTCAGTTTTCAGGAAACTCTTTGTAACTTGAATTACTAAAAATGGATTCTGGATATTCATTTCATCTCTAATACAGACATATTAGAGAAATGAGGACATATATCTCCACATATTCTTCCTGTAATTACATGATGCAGATCTTTCCTTAGTGGCTCCTTCATGTACTCAATGCATCTCTATATAACGTAAGTTATACATTAAAATAACATTCCCTCTTTGATTGCTTTCAGGTCCAAAAATCTCAAGGAATACCCTTTCCATGCTGAATACTGAATACGGCCTTCACTAGACCTCTGGTGGCTTACGTGCCTATGCTCTAACTTTGAGCTATTTATCTAGTTTTCTTATTGCATCTGCCCCAGTACTGCCACTGAAGACACAGAATGTTTATCCCATGAAATTTGGGTTTTTTTGGAAGAAAAGAGTATTTTCTACAGAAAAAATGTGGGATGTAATAATCTTCTCCTTATCAGAAGACAGTATTTCTATTGAAGAACCAAAGCAGAGGTGCTAAGCAGAAAATGGGAAGAGCTTGTACCACCATTCAGTCTGACTGCCTTCAGTCTTGCATCAGCAGAAACCAGATGTTGACAAACCACAAAAAAAACCCCATGGATTCATAATTTCATCAGAGATGTCCCATATTTTAAATAAATTTAACTGTAAAAAGCAAAAACATAATTGGCTGAAAATCCTCTGTCCAGTGTAGGAAAAACCCAAAACACTCCTACCCAGAGATGCATAGAGAAGTGGTCTGCAGTCACCTGCACCGTGGGGACACGGATTTTCCCTGGGACAGCCACTCAGCACTTTCCCCTGCCATTCCTCAGCAATCCACATTGTCCCCTCTGTGCTGGCCACAGCCCCTGAGCCCCAGGCACAGCCACCAGCACTGCTGGGGACATCTCAGCTGCCATAAAACCCAGGTGTCTGTTGGCAGGGGAGGCTCAGCGCTTTCGTGCTGAGCCAAACCACTGACACTTTAGGATCTTTTCCCCAAAATTTCCACTTCCAATTCAAAAAGATACAATCCAAAACCCTCTGTTCCCCAGCTTCCCAAAGGAAGCAGCCCATAAAGCCCTCAGCAACCTACAGGCAGAGGTAAGACATCCATCCTGCAAAAAAAATACACCAAGGCAGTGAATCCAGTAAGGGTACAATATTTAATATGGCATGGGAGCTAATGATATAGGGAATTTCTATCACCTTTCACTATCACTCTCTTTGCCTTGGAAAGCTTCTGATCAAACACTTGCTCTAACTTTAGAGCCATCATTGTGGACACAATCACACAAATTCATTCATATGCTCCTTGGCTAAGGGCACCACTTACTGCCTCATCCTAACCATGCTGAAGGGCTACCCTGCTCCCACTTGAAGGGTCTCTTCTCATCTCAGGGCACATACAACCTGCTGAAAGGAAGGAGACATCATGAGGGTTTAGCCACATCAAGTTGCTGAATCGGGCCTAAGTGCAAAGGATGCACAGGCAAGGGCTGCCTGCTTAGGGTATGTGCTCATCGTTTCATTTCTGGAGTTAAATCATCTTAATTACACAGTTTTGTCAGCTCATCAGATTAACAGACAAATACAAGAAATATCAAAAATTAAAGTCTTCAAAATTAAAGTCTTCAAAAAAACTACTGAGAAGACACAGAGGGTGATGGGACCTCAGGGGATGCTCCTGACTTGCTCTGAACTCAGTGCAAAAAAAAGGCCAAGGTCTTAGAATCAGATTAAACCACTATCCTCCTGTCTTATTCCTGCCTTAACAAGCATCTGGAAGTTGAATCAATGCACACCATTTAGCAACATAACATCCTGTTCCAATACATACTCCTTTCCCAAATTCCCTACTATCACCTGACAACCCCAGCCACACCTTCAGGACAGAAAATCAACTGGCCGCTCCCCTGTATTGGCATAATTTGGGCAAGGTCTCACAGCAACAGGCACAAACTAAGCAAAACACCAAAAATTCTCTCTTAAATGAGCAAGACATTTCTCAGGATGTGTCTTGGGAAAACCAAGCACCAACCTTCACAGGAGAACATGAGTTCACAGAAGCAGCAGCATCAGAAATCTCAGAAGAAAGTGAAAGGAAGGACAAATTACACTTCTCAGCCCTGCTCTCCACCAAATCTCTCTCTGTCATCACACACTCTACTCAGCTCCTTGCTGCAGGAATGCAAGGCTTTTGAACCTGTCTCCAGAAAGATGGGCTCAGAAAAATGAGAACAAACACTGCAGGGTTTCTGCTCTCTCTTAGAAGAGATCCCATCCCACTGGCTAAACAGTCAGGCTTTGCAAGTTTCACAGGCTTGCAGAGCACAGCTCTCTGAGGGCAACAGTTCACCTTGGTGCTGCTCCAGTACAAAATTTGATGAATTCTGCCAGTTCCTACATCAAGCCTTGAAAGCCACTCACCACTGATGGGTTCTGAATGGGACACTACTAATGCTAATAAATTACCAGCACAGCACCACAAACTCGAGTGCCTTGGGAATATAAAGGAGAGCAGGAGCAAACTGGCACTTCAGCTGCTCTCTGGGCTGTCTAGAAAAATACATGCCAGACAAGGCAAAATGTGTCATTTTGCAGTTTTCAATGACTTCTCTGAACAATGAACCAGACCAAGAAACTAAGTGGATTCAGGGCAGATCTATGCAGAAGGAATCCCAAATAAGGATGAAAGATAAGCCCAAGTTGTATAACTCTTATGTGATTAAACTGAAATACCACATCCTGCTGAAGAAGCTGATAGCCCTGACAGAAAACCAGAGGAAGATTAAAGAGAAAAACTAATTATCTGTCTGTCTTCAGTTAAATGAAGCAAAAAGACCTGGGGCACCAGCTGTGGGAGAAGCACCCAGAGAAAAATGCACCATTGTACATACTTCAAATTTATGCTTGTACATGAATCAATATTCCAAGTACAAGCAAACAACAAAGACTTACAAGCAGCCCTAACATACCTTTATGGAGCACTTGAAGGATCCTTCTGATAATTTTTTTTTTCATTAAACTGTGAGCACCTCATCAGTACAGCATATTTTGCCTCTCCACAATTTCAAAGTCAATTTCTAATGTGAAATTAAAGTTCACGTACCATTTATTTCTACATTTGTATATTTTCTTCTGAAATATGGTTTGCACCTCCCTAAAGACACAGGCACAATGTGATCCTCAAGACACTTGCTGAAAACTCACTGCTCTTCTGTAGCTTTAAAAATATACTAAGAAATACTTTTCCCCAACATTTAAAATGATTTGTACTGATTATTTCCTAAATTACAAACTCACATACCACAAACTGAAATTGTACTTGTCCCATCTGGAGAGGGAAACAGGGTGCTCCCCACTCCCACAAACGATACTGAGGTATCTCTAGCCACCTCCTTCCATTAGCACGCAGCATGACAGGTTCTTGGCACCAGTTCACGCTACCACTGCTGTGCTGCTCCAGCCAAAGACAGCCTCCAGCCACACACTCGGCAGCGAGGGAGTAGCTCGGGGAGCTGGGAGCGTGGGACTTCTGTATGACGTCCTACTCCATGTCCTGCTTATTGACCCATTTTGGGACACCCCTGGGCCGTACCGATGGCAAATCGTGGGCCAAAGTGTCCCAGAAAGAAACCGTCTCTCTCTCAGAATCCATAGAGAGAACTGCAACAGGGTGTCGCAACACCCCGGCACACTGACACAAGCGAGACACGCACGGACAACCTGTGGCACAGGGATAGGGCGCTGCAGGAGCTGATCCCTGCACAAACACCTGCCGGATCGGGACACACGTGCCCTTAGCCCTTATCTCTGACAAGCAACTTCACCCTTATCCAGGAGGAAAGGTCGCAGCACTCCGGTAACCCCCACGCGGGACATGGCCGCCGGACGGATCCCATTGGCTGCAGGATCCGCTGCTGATTGGGCGGCACTGCCACCGGGGCAAGGCTGGAGCGCTGATTGGCTGTGAGGAAGGGGTGGGCTGAGCGCTGTCGGCCCGTTCATGGCGGGGTACGCGCGGCTCGGCGCTGTCAGGGCGCCGCTGCTGGGGCTCGGCACATGGAAGGTAACCGCGGGCACCGACTCCCGGCGGTACTTGGGCAGCTACCGAAGGAGAAGTACGTGAAAATCCCAAATTGAGACATATCCTACCCTTTTTCCCGTTAGTCCCCCCCAGGTAAGGTGGAAACTGCAGTGATGGCTGCCATCGATGCCGGGTATCGCCACTTTGACTGTGCCTACGTATACCAGAATGAGAAGGAAGTTGGGCATGGGATCCACCAGAAAATCAAGGAAGGTGTTGTGAAACGAGAGGACCTCTTCATCGTCAGTAAGGTATGGATCAGATGGTCATGGATTATGGACAAACTGGCTTTGTGATATTTTTTACAGGAGAAACCTAAAGTAGTTTAATGCTGTAGCATTGGAGAAGCTCATAATATAAACGAGATTATTCCTGATACTACTGTCTTGTTCCACTTCATGACCACAGTGATAGAGTTTGATCCTTTCCTGTCCACTGACAGTAATGGTTAATGTTGTAGCTATGGGATAGGAAGAGTGAGTTACTTGAAAAGAATCACTCATACCCTAACTGCTGGCAGCTGTCTTCCCTGCACTTTCTTCCAGTAAAGGAGGCAAGAGTCTGATTTCCCCCCCAGAGTGTACAGCAACCTTGAGCACCACAGCCCTGTTGTGTTCTGGCCCTCTGCTGAGAAGACAAGAGTGCTAGGGGATGGATGAGGAGAGGCTAGTTGCAGACCAATCTGCAGGAAAAGGTAGAGTGGGCAGGACAAATTATATCTGAACTAATGGACCCAGAGGACTTTGTTATGATCACGCTTAAATACTGTGCTGCCACTGCACATACTGCCTTCAGTGTCATGGGCCAGTTCCATCCCAGAGCACACCTCATCTGAAGAGAACATCTGAAGAGCACGATGGCCTCATTCCACATTGCCTTCCAGAGAACATGGAACATTTCTGTGCTGTTCAGGAAAGCACTTGAGAGCTTTAACCCAGGAGGTCACATTGTGCCTTGTTTTTTTTCTCTAGCTGTGGTGCACGTTTCATGAGAAGCCTCTAGTGAAGGGAGCCTGCCAGGAGACTCTTGCAGACTTGAAACTGGATTACCTGGATCTCTACCTCATCCACTGGCCTTTTGGGTTCAAGGTACAGTAACCAGTAACAGCAATACCCATAGCTTTGTTTCTTGTGACTGGCTTTACAGCCTAACAATTGCTGTGACTGAGAAAGACAATGATGTGTCT